TGCCACTGCTGATGGAGTTTATCTCACCAAGGGAATCACCAGCCCAGTAGTCGGCACTTCGGTGTTGACATAAATTATCATTGACGTGGTCATAATTATCTGATGGTATTGGAAGTGACTTTTTTACAAAGGAAGTTGCAATCTGTATTTCTTATTCCAAGGGAAAGTACATGGAAACCACATATTTTTGTAATCGGTGTGAATTGATTTATAATACGAGACCAGAAGTGACATTTTCTTAACCGGAAGTATCAAATAATCTCAATTATTTCAGACAAATAGTATAAAGAAAGCATATATTTTTTTAATCATTATGACGAAACCTGTGGTTGGACGCCAACTGTAACTTTGAGTAAGTCGCAGTTAGCTTCTTATCAGTTATTAAGGAATGTAATGTGGGAAGACCATCAGTTGTTCTCCGAACAATTGGTTTGTTTAGAGAACATTTGGTTTCAATTAAAATTGAGAATGGAAATGGGGAATGTGTCAAAGAGACAACAACCTGACCAAAGAGCAGATAATAGCCGAAGGCAACTAATAGGTCTTCAGCGCAACGAGAAAATCTCGCACCCGGAGTAGGGCCTCAGCTTGCCCCTACATAAAAATGTGTACTAGTTCAGTGAAAATGGACGTCATACTAAACTCCAAAACTAATAAATGAACTAAAATTAAAAAAACATACAAGACTAAAAAAGGCCAGAGGCTCCTGACTTGGGACAGGCGCAAAAATGCGGCGGGGTATTGTGAGATCTCAACCCTTCCCCTATAGCTCTAGCCAATGTAGAATAAAGAAACACACAGCTATACGCACAGTAAAACATAGTTTAAAAGAAGTCCAAGTCCGATGTCAGAATAGGTAACAAAAGAAACTAAGCAAAATGACAATGAAACATAAATGAACAAAGGACTACTAGCAATTACTGACATGCCAGCCCCAGACATCATTTAAACTGATTGAAAGATTATGTCTTCATCATATGAAAATCAAGCACAATCCCTGTGTAATAATTTCGACTGGAATTTTGCAATGTAAACATGTTACAACGAAATTCTCAACTTGTATGTATTAAGTTAGATGATTATTATTTCTAAGTATATAGTTTCTTTATAAACAATAGACGAATAAATTTTATCTTTTCGCGAAAATGTTTGAAATAGATTATTAACCTGTTTTTAGTTTCAACAACCATCTACCGAGTTTGAGCAATTTACATGAACATTTTCCTATACAAAGACTAATTACAGTTTACTAGTTGCAAGAAAAGTTCACTAGAAGTAATCAATTTCCCGTTCTTTCTGTATATTCAAACACTTATTTAATGGCTATATTAAAAAAAGCAAATTAATTGTAAGTCGAGACACCAACTTGTTCACTCTGCTTCGCGTCGGATAATAAGAAAGGGACACAAAACTTGCTATTGTCCTCATATAAAGATAGGAAGAAGTGGTATGATTACCAATGAGAAAACCCTCCCCTAGACAGCAAATAACACAAAATGTTATTAATATAGGTCACCCTACGACCTTCAATATTGAACAAAACCAAATCGGGTAGTCAGTATAATGCACCAAAAGGTCAAATATGAAACAATTTAGTATGCCAATATAACATTAATGTACGGTAAATTCCGTATCAGTAGTAACATTTGTCTATTGGACTTTGTATCCTGGGTAATTAAATAAACAGTGCGCAACAGATGCGCATATCGACAATCAATATCTTTTCAGTTCTATACGTTCTTCTCGAGGACGAAATATTTGAAAATACAAATAAAAAAACAAACGTTGAAAAGCTTATCAAACCAAAAAGAATTTTTGATTTCATGACTAGAGTTTTACTATAAAAGTAAGTCCCATTATAAATATTCAAATGACAATAAATACACAGCTAGAAATTATTTCGGGCACTTTATTTAGGAAATATTTAAACTTGAATCAAACTCGCATGAAAACGACTAACCTTAGAAAATATAAAATATTAAAAAAATAGTAGAATAAAATTTCATAATTAAATCTGTGTTGTCAGTTTCTTTATTAGAATTCATTATAATTTGGACAATTATTATTTGAATAGTAAAAGTTGGAAATGAAAATTCGTAGTTAAACATATATCAAAGTCCGTGATATCAAATATCCGAGGAAAGTGTTGTGTAATCATTAAAAAAAAACAAAAAACCCAGTATTTCCATAACAGAATGTACAACTGTTAAAACAATAAAATAACATAACAATTAAAATTACCTTTTTTTAGATGTAAAAGATCTCTTTCCGGCCAAAGAATGTTCCTGGTTAAAAAAGATAGGGACATTTTTATCTAGAAATATTTAGGCCATGCACATAAATACAGGAAAATAATTCTGCAGAAAACAATTACTGACATATGACTAAACCTACTAGTAACCAAATGAAACTAATAAATTACTTGTTATAGACTTTTAACTAGCTGCCAATAACTGCGACTACTCTCAGATCTATACTTTGTGTCTTTGTTTGTTTGATGTGTCTGTGTCTAAACTAACTAACAACATTTTTACCACGTCTTAGATTGTGGTTGTCATATACGTCGTCTGGTCTGCTTAGTACCGAATTTGACCTTTTCCTGAAATATGTCTGTTTTACCAAATGTGTGAATTCGCAGTGCTATACGACGTGTCTCGATTGTTTATATATGCAACATTCATGTACGTTGTATATAGTTTTGATGTTTATTTTGTAATTCGGATTGGTTATTTGTTTATGTCCTGTGTTCAACAAAGGAGACGACGTGGTTCGGTACATATCCCATTTTGAGGCATTTTGTTGTTACTTTCTTATACGTGTGGATTTGGTGGGTCATTTTATGCAGAGTTGTTGTCTGTTTATTTCGTGAGTGGTTTGAATTTTGTATTTTCAGTACTTTTCACTTAAGTCTTATTTGTCAGTATAGTCGACTTACTTATGGTTCGTAGACATGTTTTTTTGTTTTGTGTTCTTTGTTTGCATGTGTGTTAACTGTTTTTTTTTTTATAATCTTGCCTAATATTATAGGTATTTTTTTTATTTTCTATATGTAAGTAAAAGTTAAGATATAAAATAAGCTATTTCATTTCTATGATTTTAATTTTAAAGCAACTATATTTTTTGTTTTGTTTATACACAGTTTTGATTTAGTTATAAACTGACTTGGTTATAAAAATACAAATAATGGCACAACTACGAAAAAGATTCCATTTAAATATTCCTGTCATGGTTAGAAAATACATACAATAAAACCTTTTTAAACTCAATCCCAATTTGATATTCTTGTACGTGTCTATATATCAAACCAATCTATTTTTATTTAGAAATTTACCTATGATAATATAAATGTCACAAAAAATACTCCCTTTTTGTGACACTGATGTATTCATGTTACACGCAGTTAATATTTCGTTTGTGGTGTCCTTGTGTGCTGTTGTAAATTCATGCGAGGTGTCCGTTATTATCCTGCTGTTTACACGTTGTAGTGTACTATTATACGTGTGCCATGTTCCATGTGTGCTCGTCCCAGGGAATTGAGTGGTTATTTTTCTTGTTTTGCTGTGTGTCATATTTCATGTATTTGTTTTTTCGTTTATTTTTTGCATAGTTTGTTCTTGTGTTGTGTTGTTGCACCATTGCCCCATGTGAGGGGAGGGGGTGAATTTGAGCATCTTTATCCTAGCCACACTCTATGTGTCTGTTCCAAGTCTGACACCTGTAGCCGTTGGTTCATGTCTATAATAATTGTTTTTCGTAATTTTTTTTTGTTTTCAATTTAGCCTGACAGTTTTCTAAACTGATTTGTTTTATCATTTTGTTGTCAGGGCCTTTTAAAGCCGACTATACGGTATTTGCTTTTTTTCATTGTTGAAAATCGTACGCTTGCCTATAATTGTTCACATACACTTCAACTGAACTTTGGTGGATATTTGTCTAATTGTGAATCAAACCATATCTCCTTATTTCTATTTTGAATTTGTATTACGTTCAAGATTGTTTTTAGTAAAAACAGAATAGATTGATAATTTTCATTTAACATCATAATGATGAATGGTATCTATTATCCAAAATATTCATTTGGTACTATTATTTACTGTTTGTACACTTTAAGGATATATATTCAATGTATTTATTGTAACAGAATCGTTTTTCATAATGATCTAGCGCGCTCGTTTAGAAAGATCGTTGACTTTTATGTAAAAGTGATACATATACATTATTTCGTTTATATATATATATATGCGTTATGTTTGCGCATGTCCCAAGTCAGGATCTTCTAGCCTTTGTAAATCTTGTGTGTTTTTTTAAAGTTTGCTTAACTTGTTTATTTCGGGAACTAGTCTGGTGTTTTTTTTCGCTGAACTAGTTAACATTATTGTAAAGGGCCATTAGTTTGCCCGATACATTCCTGTAAATGTGGCCATTGAAATTTAAAAAATCGTTTGAAGACTTAAATGTTTACCTACAATAATGAACATCTTCTCTGTCCTATTTGGTACCTTTGATGGAAAATATTCAAGCCAAAACTCAATGTCTTGATATGTTATTCTGCTACATATCTAATATGAGTTCAAAACAAGTCGACCAATAGCGATGCACAATCAGTACCTACTGGAATACCGACGATCTGTTGAAATCTTTATCCACAAGTATATCATTATATTGCCGATTAAACAAATCCAGCAATATATTTGAAATTGCATAATAAGAGACGAAATCAATCTAAATTCCTATTATGTTCCATGTAAGGTATCATTCAATCCATCCCTGAAAAATAACTTTGTTTTGGTCCCTCGTTAACCTTAAACAATGTGATTTTTTGTGTTTTTATTTTTGACTGTAAATTTCCTATTATATTCTATGGAATTCATTTGGTGATTGATAAAGGCTGCATGCCGGGGCAGCATAGATTATCGATGTACAATGTAGCCACGAGCAATATTGCGTCCTAATATCCATACCTAATATCATATATATGCAGATTGGTTTTATCTTTTCAGTTGATGCCTTCAAAACTTCAAGTAAAACTACAACTACAACAATATAGGCCAACTACCTCAACTACTGCAACACAATTCACATTATTTAAAACAACTGTGTGTTTAGAGGAATATATGGTGAATATAGACATTGTGTGGTAGTAGCTCTAAAAACAGCTTTTGTTTATCTTTTAAAACAAAAAAGTTATGTATTTCTGTCGAAAGGAAATATACGTCCACAAATCCGAATTTTGAGCAAATATCTGAAATTTCTTCCTCGTTTTACACAAAAAGTAGCACATGAAGGTATATTGTTATTACATATTTGATTTAATCAGGTAAAAAATAACCTATATGCAAATTGTCATCAAAATGTCATAATGGGATTAAAACTGTATCGTATGCCCTTAATGTTCATTCATGTAAAAGAGAGAAAACAAAACGTACGATACTGATATAATTTCGCTAAACACAAAACTTAATATCCTAATTTGATACGGCAAAAATTAAACCTAGTTTTACACAGCACTTTCCATGAGAGTTCCGGTAGTAAGTCAACAACCAAATAACAAATGTTGTGATATCTATTTCAATCCAGTCTAACATGTCATAAGATTTTTACTAATATTGCAAGATAATTCAACTTTTTTGGATCATTTCAGATGCAGCCACAACTTCATCTGTTGTTTCCGTATATACATTATGTGCAATTGTGAATATGTCTAGTTATAAGGTGATACTCGAAGTTGTGGTAAAGAAGTAGCTATTGATTTTTTATAACTTTTACCTATCATCAAATAATGAAGACTATATCCTGTTGTTGAGCCTTTTGACACATTATAAGAATATCTTTACAACACACCAGAACAGCAGTTAAAACCAAGTAAAAGAAATCAAACATAATCCATCAATAAAACAACCTTCAAAAATCACTGCTACACAAATTCAGAAACCCAAATGTTATTTTGATCTTTTGGTCAAACCAGTTGCGTCAAATGATGTCACCTCTTGCTCCACCAGAAAACCAAAATAAGTTCTTGAAAGCACATTACTGTCAACATTCTATGATGATACATGATAAAAATCAGTCCCATCTGTGATAAATACATTCTACAAAAGCAGTCCCCTGTGAGATAGATGTATCATTGCAATATGTTTGTTTTAGTTTCGGTCATTGTCTGTTATGATTTTGTTATCCTTTATAAGGTTTAAGTTATTATCCCTGTTGTTTAAAAAAAAAAGTAAAATCACAAAAATACCGAACTCTGAAGAAAATTAAAAACGGACAGTCCCTTATCAAATGGCAAAAAAACTCCTTTTAAAACAAGGAGATGTGGTTAGATTGCCAATGAGACAACTATCTACCAAAGTACAATTGAAGTGGATGTAACCAATTAAAGACAACTGTACGGCCTTCGGCTGTTCGAGTTTTTACTCTTTTGTCGGGTGTTGTCTCTTTGAAATATTCCACATTTCCATTCTCAATTTTATTAAAAAATGAGAAAAACCCATATCGTGTGGCCGGCTATACAAGATCATGTTTAGCAATGAAGGGTAAGTATTGATGACCAATTTTCTTTCAAGTTGATGATTAATTAAAGTTTACACACTGCAAAACTCATTTATCAAAATAGACTGCGACACAATTATAGATCACTAGTAAACGAATTTAAGTTTAAAAAAACAATTTAGTCTTGCACTTAAACCAGTTCTATTCAGTATTCTGATAAGATCTAGATAGCAGTATAATGCCAATGCTAGTTCAAACGGCGCGTGCACCTAAATAACCCTTCATTAAATAGTTTGAGACTAAGAGACATTATAGAATGAAATAGAAGCTAAAAAAAAAGAAGAACATCTAAAACCGCATACTTTACCTGAAGATCCCTCAAAGTAGTTTAAATTCATCAATACTTTTCATTAACACAATATTTTCTAGCACTGTCAATTATACGACACCGCATTGTGAACTGTTAGTCCGCGACAGTATCATGAGCAAAGGAGTGTGTGGTTCGATATAGGTATTATTTTAACTCAACTTTCTTACAATTATAAAGAAAGCAAGTTCCAAATCATTCTGAGAAACTGGACTTTAAGTTCGATTTGCAGTTTCTAGTTCCATTTTTTAAAAGAAAAGTTTGAAGTATTTAAGTATTTAAACCCTTGTCTTTCAAAAGTTTGGTTCAAAGCATTCAACATGATGATAAATATGTACATCACTTCGGTCTCACAAAATTAAAAAATATTATTTTAATTTGTTTTTTTTTAGTTAATTTTTAGACATATAATTAGCCAAACAGGCAGTACATTTGTAAGAAGACTTACCAATAAAAAGTAGAAAAAAGCATAACAAGACATATATTTATTCTACATATATATTATTTGCTAGCTTTATGAAGCGAATCGAAGACTGTTTTTGGCAGCCTTTAAGTTCTCCGAGTATTGAGTTGAAGAAGGATGAGACGACGGTAAAATCATACTCACGTTTCGGTCCCAACCTTGGATCGACTAAAATCCTCTTCAGTTTTGTATTTTTAAATTTTTTGATCACATTGTTTTTGGTAAAATGATTTTGCAATTCAAAATGAAACAAAATCAAATATTTATAAATTTGATCAAATCTGCATGTTATAAATTGTTGTTCACATTATATGTTTGTTTCAATAAAATTGAGAATGAAAATGGGGAATGTGTCAAAGAGACAACAACCCGACCATAGAGCAGACAACAGCCGAAGGCCACCAATGGGTCTTCAATGCAGCGAGAAACTCCCGCACCCGGAGGCGTCCTTCAGCTGGCCCCTAAACAAATATGTATACTAGTTCAGTGATAATGGACGTCATACTAAACTCCAAATTATACACAAGAAACTGAAATTAAAAATGATACAAGACTAACAAAGGCCAGAAGCTCCTGACTTGGGACAGGCGCAAAAATGCGGCGGGGTTAAACATGTTTTTGAAATCTCAACCCTCCCCCTATACCTCTAGCCAATGTAGAAAAAACAAACGTACAACAGTACGCACAGTAAAACTCAGTTTAAGAGAAGTCCGAGTCCGATGTCAGAATAGGAAACAAAAGAAAATAAATAAAATGACAATAATACATAAATAACAACAGACTACTAGCAGTTACTGACATGCCAGCTCCAGACCTCAATTAAACTGATTGAAAGATTATCTCTTCATCATATGAATATCAGGCACAATCCCTCCTGTTAGGGGTTTAGTATTATACCATCATAAAATATATGAGAAGAACATAACCCGTGTCATGCCAACAACTGGTTTTAGAATAAATATGTTTAATTCCGATGCAAAGACCCTATAAGTGAATCAATATTAAAGCCAAAATATGCAATCTTTAATGACCTGACAACAGTATCGTAACTATATCCCTTCTTAATAAGTCTGTTTAAAGGTTTTGTTAGCCTTTGAGGTGAATACTGACATTTTTGTGCTTTGTAAAGAATATTACCATAAAAGATTGGATGTGAAATACCCGAACGTATAAGATGTCTGCATGTTGAGTTATATTTACGAATGGTGTCCTTATACCGATGATAAAATTTAAACCTTATTTTAGTTTATCTGTAACCATGTTTCTTTATATATAGCCAAAATGAGAATTCATACCCTACTGAATGGTGTCTTTGAAAGTGTTAGATTGTGAGTTACAAAGTTCAATCAATAGCTAACAACTGGTGAAAGTAAAGCATTTTTTTTGTTGATGTTTTGCAGTGCTGACAAGGCCTACTATTAAACAAAATAGGTATTGTATTGCCATTGAATATTTAGTGTTTAATTGGTATTCTTGATTTTTATTAACCATCATATCATACTGTCGTAGCCAGAAGAAGATACTTACTTCGTCTATTTAAACCTAGTAATTTTTGTAAAATAAATTATCTTGATTAGAATCAGTTCAAATAAAATTGAAAATGGAAATGGGGAATAAGACCGTGTATATTTACGCCAAACATTTTTCATTTTAAACTGAAAAAATAGTTTTTTCAAAATGCTCTGCTAATTTTAAAGTTAATTGGTTTGAAAAATGTAACAAAAATCTTTTGAAGTCACTTTTGAAAAATCATTTTCTTAATGAGATTTGAAATTTGTAATTTTCATGAGATTTCATTTTTTGATTTCACGAGGATATTAAAAAAATAATAATAAGTTTGTGTTAAAAATGATTTAATTTATCAACATTTTGAATAAATTAAAACATTTGTATTTGCTTGTTTTAGAAAAAAAAACATATTTCAATCTCTTAAGCAAAAATTGAAATTGCTGACCTTAAGCATTTTTCAATTTGCGTTATTAATATTGAAAAATAAAAAATGCTCCAACGTGGAGCATTTTTCAATTTGACTTTTAATATTGAAAAATGAAAAATGCTCCAATATGGAGCATTTTTCATTTTGATATTATAAATTGGAAAATGAAAAATGCTCTAAGGTAGAGCATTTTTCATTTTACTTTGCAAAATTAAAATTTGAAAAATGATCCAGTCTGCCACATTCTTTTAATTTTTAATAAGTAGAAAGAAATGAAATTTGTTTCAACATTAGGTGTTTTAAATTTTCAAATTGTCGACACTATTTTTAAATGTTTCTCTGTTTCTTTTTTTCTTTTTCCCTGTTTTCATTTATCTCAGGAATAGATTACCTCAGCCGTATTTGGCACAACTTTTTGGAAGTTTGGGTACTCAATGCTCTTCAACTTTGTACTTGTTTGGCTTTATAACTATTTTGATCTGAGCGTCACTGATGAGTCTAATGTAGACGAAACGTGCGTCTGGCGTATTCAATTATAATCCTGGTACCTTTGATAACTATTTACACCACTAGGTCGATGCCACTGCTGGTGGACGTTTCGTCCCCGAGGGTATCACCAGCCCAGTAGTCAGCACTTCGGTGTTGACATGAATATCAATTATATGGTCATTTTTATAAATTTCCTGTTACAAAACTTTGAATTTTTCGAAAAACTAAGGATTTTCTTATCCCAGGAATAGATTACCTTAGCCGTATTTGGCACAACTTTTTGGAAGTTTGGGTACTCAATGC